CCCAGGAGGTGCTGCAGGCTTTTGAAATCCCACCCCTGCCTCTTCCAGGGCTGGCCTTTCCAGTTGTAAGCCGCCCTGTCGTCTGGGCCTCTCCCCTAGCCAGTCAGACACCTGCAGGGCCAGAATGTGGGAGCCACTTCCTGGTTGCTCTGCTGGAAGGAGGAAGCCATTGCTCTGATGGCTTCCCCAAGAGACACGAGTCCGCTTTCAAAGTGTGTGCAGATACAGGACAGGCACAGATCAGCATTGTCTGTGAAAAGAGCAACAGGAGAGATGACGGGGTAATTGTGCAGAACATCTTGTTTGTAATTTCCTTCCTTCCAGCTGATATCTCTCTGTTCACACAGGCTGCTGGAGTAGCTGGGGGTGAGGAGGGGAGTAGGGGAGGCAGGGGGCATCTCTGAAGGTCCCCTATCCACACAGCATGCTTGACTCCGTGCTGGAAAATCAAAGACAAGGTTGGAAACGTATTAGAAGCAAATAATCCAGCAGAACCAGAATCCATGGTGTCTCCCTGGGGCCTTCTTACCATTATCCCTCTGTGAGTCCAGTTCCCAAAGGGAAGAAGTAAGGAGTGCAAGGATGCTCAGGTCTGGAATGCATTGATAAAACTTCTTATCCATCCTGGGTTCATTCATTCTGCATTGTGTGTAGCCAGAGAGCTGGGTCCCATAATGCAACCAATCGGGTTTTAGGCCACGTGGGACCCTAGTGTTTCCTAAGCCAGCTAAACCTTCAGAGAGGCTCCGAGGAAATGCCATTTCCTGGGGTGATGGGAGACAGTGCTGGCCTCTCCCTGCTGCTGAAGGCTCAACACAGGTAGAGTATGTCCAGGCCATGGGCAGGTCATCCCCTCCCGAGCTGCCTAGACCTATGCACGTGGTCAAAGCAGACCCAGGACTTGCTGGTCCCCATTTTGTCTGATCTAAGAAGTGTTTGATTTTACCAATAAGCTAGGGAAAACCTGGCAGTTTTGTTTTTGTTTTGTTTCACTTGAACCAGCAAAGCTCTCAGGATTAGAGGCTAAGGCAGAAACTTGGAGTATGATGGACCGACCCATCAAGGTGCTGATTTTGCCAGAAGGATGGATTTCTCATGGTCATAGGACCTTGGCATTCCTCCCTGAGAAACTGTCAGCACCGAGTGTGTCGGGAGTCAAGCTACCAGGAAAGGATGCCCACAGTGCTGGCTCATGGGCAGCTCAGTCCTCCTTTGGGCTGTTGGTCCCAATCACAGTCTTGCCCCAGGGGTTGGGTCCACAGATACCAGCTTCACTCAGTGGCAAGTGATGGGAACAGAGCTCACAACTCAATACATTCCCCCTACAGCAATTGCCAAAGTCCAATGCTTTAAACTAGTGTTGAATTTTCTACCTGACAGTGGCTTTTTCTTTCTCACCTGCTTTTGTAAAAAACATTTCTTCTGTAACTAAATATTTTTTGTAATTGAATAAAATAGGAGAGAAACAATCTCACAGGAGGAGAGCCTTTTCAACCCAATGCATGCTGTTCCAAATGACTGGGTCAGATTCGTAGCATGCGTCCACCCACTGCTCCCTGGGCCTGGACATCTCTAAGTCAGTGCTACACTGCCGTCCTAGAGAAGGGAGAGGTGCAGGAAGGGACTCGGTATCACCACTCTTGATTACCTTTTCTTTAAAGTCAATCAAAGCATGTTTTTCCATGATGCCCAGGTCGAGTGGGGACTGAGAAGAGATTCAGATAAGAGAGCCCATGGACCACTCCCAACTCCACAGCCTTTCACTGTTAAATGCAGGGTTTAAAGCTAGGTTTAGAGAAAGAAGAGATAAGATGATTCTAGTAATCCTCAAACAATGAATTACCTTGCAAGCTCATTGTTCTGTGACTATCCCTTAGCATGGGCTTCATTTCTCTTGGGCTATAGAGTTATTTTAATATGGTAGAAATCACACAGTGATTCTAACGGTAGAGATTTGTTCTGGGATTTTGTGTTTTAGCTGTGAACATTTGATCATAAACATTTCTCGTGTTTTCATCTTGTCTTCACGGACATCAATGCAATATTTGTTGTTTATAAAAATGTGTCTAAATGGAAACCTTAGAAGACAGGGAAGAGTAAAACATAATGAGTAAATAAAAACTAAAGAAAGTAAATACAGAGTAAAGTAAGTATAAAGTAAAAATAAAGAGTAAATTAAATGTTTATGTTTTCTTTTCTTGGGCCTGCTCAATTTCTTTCTAGGTCTTATGTGGTTGGGGTGTATAACCCTAGCTTTGTAATTGGGTTATTCTTCAGACAGAATTTATATGTTGTTCTCTGCTAACTTGACAGTTTCATTAAATTAATCCATCATGTGATGCATGCTGCTTAATTAATTGTCTCTAATGTAGCATATTTGTCATCCTTCTTGGTTGTTGTTACTGTAATGAAGATCACAGTGAGCACGGGTGTTTGTAACTTCTTAAGAGTGTTGGGATTACACAGTTTTCTTAGAAGATTCCTGTATGCAGAAATACTGGTCCCAGGGCATGAATACTGCAAATTGTTATCACATACAAACAAACTGTTTTTGAGGAAGACTGAATTACCAAAGTACATAGAGGAAAGGGAAAGTGTCTTTCTCATCCTAATTATAACTCTTGGCAACTTTAATGTTTTTGACATTTTTAATAGGCCTCTTAACCATTTACCACTTGTGTGCATGTACACTTGTGTGTGTGTGTGTGTGTGTGTGTGTGTGTGTGTGTGTGTGTGTGTGCGTGCAGGTCCTGGGGCCTGAACTTAGGACCTGGGCACTATCTCCAATGCTTTTGCCCAGGGCTAGGATTCTTCTGCTTGAACTATACCTCCACTTGCAGTGAATTGCTGGTGAATTAGGGATAAGAGTCTCACAGACTTGCCTGCCTTGACTGTGTAGACCCTCAGCATCTTGAATCAGCTAGAATTGTAGACACAGGTCACCAGGCAACCAGCTGAGCCATTCTTGTTACATAGAGAATTTGTGGACCAACCATTTTTATTTTTCAAGACCATTTCTGCCTTGTCTAGGGGTTTCATTTGTATTACTTCTACTTCTAACCACGGCAAAGCAGACAAATTTTACTTTATTTTTTATGTGTAATGAAACTATAGCTTAGAAAAGTCAAGTAACTTTCCCAAAGTTATCCAAAAATGTTTGAACCAGGATTTCAACCCAAGACCAAATAACACAACAGCTGAGATGCTTCATCCCCTAGCTCCAGGAAGGGGCATGAGGCAAATCATGGAAGGAAAAAGCACATGCATACATGTGTGTACACACAGTCACATTTGTGTGCACACACAATTCACTCTCATACACGAGCACATCACACTCACACTCCCGAACAAACATTCTCTTCCATACATGCATCCACACATTCACACAAACTCAACCCCCCCGCACACACAAAATACACTTTTTTACATATGTGCATGCCCAAGCAGAAGAAATAGACAAAAATCACCTTGCAACCCAGCACCTTGCTGGACATATTTCTTGGTGCATGCTATTGATATGACAGGACAGAAGATATAGTTGATAGTTGCAGAAGCGTGGAGGACTATAGCAGTCGGTTATTATAAAGAACCTGTCAAAATAAGTGAGAGTACATTATCAAACCATGCCTACTTCTAACTACGCTTACTTTTATTCATTCTGCAAGAGCAGTGTGGTTCCTAACGTGTTTCAAAATCCCATTTGAAGCCTTGTTTTCCTCATAGTCTTTATTCTAATTTTGAACTCTCAAAGTTATGTCAAGTTTATCGGACAGACAAGTGACACAAAGCCACCTTTGTTTTCTTCTTCCAAAAAGGAAGTGGCACACATGGAATGATTGATTCAGGGCTTCGTGTACCTTGATGTGTGAAGTTCAGAGCAAGGGCATTTAGAGCTGCCCTTCCTCGTTATGAAGCTCATACATGGACAGGGAGTCTAGCTGAATCTCACAGGATTATTACTGTGTTCTATCGGTAGCACCTGCCCTGGGAATGGATGTAGAATAGACCCTATGCCATTACGAATCTGTACTGTTTTTGAGGAACAAAATACAGATATAGCAGAAGAGGTGCTGCAATTTGGTTCCATGGTTTAAACAAAACAAGTCAGGAGGAAATAACAGAAATCCAGCTGCCAACACAAAAATGGATATTGACCCTCAAGAGCTGTCACCACCACCACACAGACTATCTGTGGCTGGGAGCCAGGTGCAGAATCCCAGACACTCGCTGTCAGTGCCTAGGAGAGATGGTGTTTGCTCTAGGTGCCAGAAGTCTGGGCTGGCTGAGTGTTCTCTGCAAAAACAGCACACACCCTGTGCCAGCCCCTGGCCCCTGTGTCTGCTGGTGGGCAATCCTAATCACACCTCTGTGGAGATCTTTCTCCTCTCCTCTTCTCTGGTACACTGTGCTCTCAGACTAGAACTGATCCTGCAGCAAATTCCAAGAGTATAGTTCACAGTGAATAGCTGGGTCCCCTTCCCTTCTCCTTCTGTCTCTTTCTTCTTCTTCCATACACATCCCATTCTGGAGATGACAGCAGAGTGTTTGAGCTGGCAGTGTGTGACCCAGGAAGGAGCATGCTGGGGCTGTGTGGTGCTCTGCCTCACCTTGGCTTGGCCATGCACTTCTTCATCGCTCTGTCAGGGCACAGGCAGTGGCCGGGGAGAGGGAACCGCTGGATGTGCAGAGTCTCGTGCCCTGGGGACAGCCAGTAGAGATCGGGACAGGCATAGGGACACCTTCAGAGGAATGCGTCTTAAACCATCACAGGCGGTTACATTTTTTAAATCAGAAAAGCATCCTGTTTGTATTCAAGCAAACGTGAGTGTGTCAATACCGTAAACCCTGTATGTGCTAACTCTTGGGGATCTCCACCAGGCTTCAAGGCGTTTTTAGTGAAAACTTGGCAGCCACGCGGTATGTTCTTGGATCGTCTGAGCAGAATGGCAATGCGGAGGGCTTACCCATGCTCACAAACCCACTCTGTTGTTTTCCTCTAGCACACACACCTTGGATATTGGAATACTGGATATCTTTGGTTTTGAAGAATTCCAAAAGAATGAATTTGAACAAGTAAGTAGACTTTTGTTTGACACCTTGTGAATTTGAATTGCCTTTTTCAACTTACTTCTTTCTTAATTCTATCACTGTCCTTACCTTCAAATGCATACTTTTGTGTTGTAAAAGTAATATACCTGGTTTGTTGACACCGCCCTTTTCCATGCTTGGATGTTCAGAGACACTGGTTTTAAACAACAGTGTAAGAGGAAGGTATGCATTCATTCTGCTTCAGGAAAGGTAGCTTCAGCTAGGTCAGGAAGACGGAGGGCATACGCACTGATACAGGACAGCGGCATCTGGAAAACCTAGACCAAGTATCAGAATAGAAATACTCTGTGATGTGTGTGCCATCATTTGTAGATTCTTCTCCATGGGGCATTCACACATTGGACTGTTAGACACTCATAAAAATAAATTAGAGGAACATTGTTTCTTAATTCAGCCACAGTTGAGGGCCTTTTTAAAGTACTGATTGTTGGTGCATCTTAACAGACCAGCATGAATAGTTCCATCTAATTAAGTATAGCTAAAATTAAATATTAAAGAAGAAAGAAATGCAATTCGCCTCAGTAAGTGGAGAAGGAAAATAACCTGTCAAAAGGTACAGGTGGAGAGACAGAAATCCAAGCTGCTATTTATTACCTGTCCCCTGCCCCCCCACACACAAATTATAACTACATAGCATTTGGTGAGAATTTTTAATTTGTTGTTGCTTTATTGTTAGCGTCAAAGAATTTTATCTTTTTAAAGAACATACTGTGACAGTTAGTGATCCTAGACAATGTTTTAAATAGACGGCCTTTAGAACCCAGTACTGTGACTTTAATTAGAGTAGAGATGTCTTGGCCCAGAAGAAGACTCTCCAGTGGTCCTCTGTTTCCTTCTTTACAGTCAGGATGATTGCTAGACTTACAGAGATACTATTCCACACAACTGCAGGTCAGGGACCATTGCCGTATGCTTACATCATAAAGGATTTTTGTGGGTAGTAGCTACCATGGCGGCTGTTACAGAGAAACACCTAAAACCCATTTACAAGTCACCAGTTTTATTTCTAGAACAGCACTGCCTTGTCTTGTTTACCACTGCTCCAGAATTCTGTCTCCTCCCATCCAGGGTGGGTCAAGCATGAAGTAGTTTCTGTACGAAACCTTGCAGAGTCTCATTTGAAGTAAGAGCAAGAAGACGGGAGGTCATTTCTCCTTTCACGTGTCTTCATGCCTGAGTAGGAAGGGGAAGACTTGGTGTTTTATTTACTTATCATGAACCAGGAGAAAATTAGTGCTGAGGGTGTGACAGGGAACAGAGCATGGTGACCAGGGGAGTGTGCTGGCCGTCGGCAGTCAGCCCATCACCAACTGACTCTCTGCTCAGACCTTTCAGCAGTGTCCTGCATCTATGCAGAGTTCTTACACTTTCACCTTAGAAAACGTGCACGCCTTCCCGTCTGTCATTAGAATCCCTCATTTCCCTGTGACTCACCGATGGAATGGCGTTGTATGAAGACCTGTACGGGGGCTTGCCTCCCAGGCTGCTCCTCCACATTTTGGCTCAATTATCCATCAGGTTTGTGTTGACTATCAGGACTTTCCTATTAAAGAATACTTATTCTGTCACAAATCAATTCTTCTTTTTTTAATATATATATATTTCATTGTAAAGATACTACCCAGAGGGCTTGCAGTTACATGAGTAAGGTAAGGGTACATTTCCTATTAAGCATTGTTCAGTCCTCCTTTGTTTTTCCCTTACCACAAATCCATTCTTCTTTCTGCTAAATATTTTAATGATGTATTTCAGAATATATTGACAGCTGGAGACCTCTGAGTATAAACAAATGACTTTTTTTTCAAATCTAACAAATGAGTTGCTAGTTCTAGACATTTATAGGTAAAACATGCCCAGACTGATTTTTGGTTTTGGATTATAAAAAGATATGATTTTAAATGTCATCTCCTTAGCAGGTTTTTCCCTGCCCCTGTTTTCATGATAGCAAGAAGGAGTCTTTTACAAAGATAAAATTATTTTCTATATGATGAATGCAATTCTTACCTTAAATTCTAAAATTTGAATGTGAACTTTAAAAAAATCCATTGACTTAAACAATGCATTCTGTTATATTGATAACTCCATTTCATACTTTTAATAAAATGTTTATTGCCTCATCCTAGAACTCAGAATCAAACCTAGAAATATATAAGCACTTTTATAAGTACCCGTTTTATTCTGCTCTGAGCCTATTGACTAATCTATAAACTGCCAGCTTTTGTGAGGTTATTTTGGTCTGGAATTTATATTTGGGATATAACTAAAGTTTAACATATATGTTTTCAACTGAAATTTAAAGAATAACCCTTTAAGGAAAAAAATATCATGGTGGATTTTCTGGTGGCTCTGCTTATATATTCTTCCAAATATATTTGAGAAATTACTAGTATCGGAAATAAAATCTCTCCTACTCTCTTTCACACACACACAAGACATTAATATATGGCATGTTTTGTACATATATCTAGATTAACTGACGAGCAAATTGGCTAATGGATTGTGTATTCTCTGTTCCTTTCTGTAGCTCAGTGTGTTCAATCATGTCTACATATCAGAACCACCTGAAAAGCTTTTAAAATCTATCAGTGCCCGGGCTGCACTCCAGTTTAATGGGTTTGGGGTCAGACCAGACATGAGCCTTTTGAAAAAGCTCCCTAGTTAATTTCAGTGTGCACATAGGATTGAGAATCTCTGTCTAACGCCTAGGGCTTTGCCTCAAACCAGAGTCAGTTTTAATTAATCTTCTACTTTAATTCTGTGATGTGTATGTCATGCTCTATTATATTTTTGCTTGAGATATATTTCAGTGAGTAATAAAAATAAAAGGAGAACAGTTGGTGAAAATTTACTCAAGAAATTAAGTTTGTCATTAATATAAATGATGGGCCATCTGGATACGCAATGGAGTTCTGGTACTAAAGAGCCTTTTCAAAGAGCGCATAGTGTTGATTATTAAACCTGTTAGCAATAGCATTTAATATACAAAGCATGTATTTTAATTAGAGAAGGATGCATACTAATTAAGCAGCTACTTAATAATTATTATCACTTCCAAATGCCTTTCACTCACATTCAAGTCTACTCCGAGGAATAGCGGGAGAGGTAAGGAAGCCGTAATATGATTCTGATAGAGTTGGAAAGCAAAACTAATGATAGTTTCATATGGAAGTTGATTATCTCAATGGGTGATGTAGATTTAGGCTTCTAGATATGTAAACCAAGGTGCTTAACAAGTCCTTCCTGACTGAGTTACGCACATAGCCAACTATGCCTTCCACACTGTGAGAACGAGTTAAGGCAAAACACCTATAGGCCACCTTTTAGTGGCCATGTGTTTTGGTCCTCAAGAGACACCAGGCATGGGGTGACTGTTCTTTGCATGAAACTTAGTGACCTGTAGTAGCATTCAAGAATCCCAGAAGTTCCAAAGGAAAGCTATGCATTTTAGGAATCATTTTAACAGAGAAAATAAAGGTGGAAATGTCAAAAGGGTGACATTGATGAAGGTCTACTGTGTTCATGCCATTGATGAATGGCAACTCCTTTATGCAACTACTTAAATAATGGAAAATAAGACTGAAACTCAAAGGCTCCAACCAAATGAACAAAACTCCTTTTCTGTTGACTAGTTTGTCAGATTGCTTTAACTTTGGGGGCAAGATACAGGAAATGGAGATACAGGAAATGGAGAAGCAGATACAAGAAACGGAAAAGTGGCCCCTTTCCGATCTGTTCCTTTGCCATGACTCATTCTGCGTATACAATCAGGTTCACCTTTCTGATTAGACCACTGGATAAGTTCGGTGAAAGTGATGTTCAGCTCAACAAAACGTTAGTGGAAATATCTATTTTCTGTTATGGAAAGGTTGGGTCATGGCAGACGCTGGACAGCAGACAGCAGAGGCTGAGGATTATTTTGAGTGTCATCCCAGGTCCTTTCCGGACATGCCGACCTACTTTATTATGGGATGCGAAGACAGCTTTGTCTATCTCAGTGTTTTCAATTAGAGAACCTCGAAGTGGAGAAAGAGCTACCATCCAATGCAGCTACCCCTCCTTCAGCAGAGTGACAGAATTGATAGTGGTTTTGTTGAGAATTTCCTTGATCAGATTTTTTTTTTTTTTTGCTTAGTACACTTGTCATGGCTTCAGGAAAGCCAAGCAGAAGATTTCCTAAGATAGATTGCACTTATTAACACACTGTCCGTAGGCACTGTTAAACCTTACTGCTAAGGTGTAAGGTATTTCTGTTTTATTAAGTGTCTCAATACAGTTTTTAATATCAGGGAATTTGATATGTTCCAATTGTGTGTATCATTTGATTTGAAAAAAAAAAGAATTTCCAACAGTTGTAGTTCACAGGAGTTCTTTGTTTTCTATTTAACCCTCAAATTGTATTAACCTTAACATTTTTTTATTCTTCAAGTTCAAATTTACCTGAGTAATGAAAGTATTCAAAATTTTATTCTCTAATAATTTTCATAATTCTCTGCTTTTCACTTAAAATGAAAGTAACAGGTGAACAGGTTATTTTAACCATTGGTATATGACTGTGTAAAGAAGCTACACAGTTTGACAAAATACGTTTTATCTTTCCAAGTCACCACTAGAGATCTATACACCATAAGATAAACATGGAAATTAGCCAAGAAGATCTCTATCTGATGGCACTTAGTTTGATTAATATCAGAGAATGAATTTGCTAGACTGCGTTAGTGACAAAGAAAGGAATATTTTCTTTACAATATTTCACACTGAGTGCCATCTTTTCCTGCTCCCATTACAATGTGCAATGTTTTGGTCTCCATCCATATTCAGGTTGTGCATGGCTAACAAGTAACCATACAGACAGAGCTGGGTTTCCTGTTGCCCCCACCAACCTGTGTTTCAATGTTATCTGAACAGAACATTGACTCTATTTTTACTGAAGAAAATGGGTCAGCCAAAGTGTGTGCTGATTTCAGAGACAATTGGTTTTAAATATGAATAACTCTCAGTTAGGCATGAATACCATGGAACCTAGTTATCCAAGGGGAGGAGAAGAAAAGTTCTAGTCAATTTTAGACAAATACGACAGAGGGGAAAAAGTCCTACAAACCAGAGTGTTCATGGATGGAGATATGGGGAGAAAAGATGCTACAACGCAGGCTTCCAAGTGTAACAAGTTCTCTCTCAAGTTCTTTATGTTTCATGAAGGTAGCAACCCTGTGGCGTGGTTCTTAACTTACGTTATCTTTCTTATTTTGTAATAGAATGTATATTCAGTCAACAGTCAGGCCGAAGTACAGAGTCCTGGGAAGCATCAGTGGGAGGAGGTGATGTGGAAGGGGAGCTGGGAAGAAGACAGAGGAAAAGCTAACAAGCAAGGAGGCCGAGAGCAATGCAGGCCGGGGAGAGTAGCTAGGAAGTATTTTAAGACAATAGATGATCCTATTCTGTCAAGTATTACTGAGAGGTCAAGAAAAATGGAAACTGAAAAATTAACCCTGAATTTAGAAGAGCTTATAACAACTGGTGAAAGTGAGAAATTTTGGTAGAGTTGCCAGGACTAAAAAGTTGGAGTAGTGCCACAAGCAGATAGGAGAAGAATCTGAGCTGTAGAGACAAGAAAGTACGGAGAGACAAGTTTTTCTTGAGTTATATACATTAATATATATTAGAGAAAGCAGGCAATCAGGAAAGGAAAAGAAGCCTGGAAGAAAAGCCTAGAAGAAAAAATATTTCTTTCGGGCTAAAACTGATTATTTTTTTAATCTTTAAAAAATGTTTTAAGACAAAAAATAATGTCACTCTCAAAAGTAAGATGACCACTTGCTTCCTGGTGAGAATGTGTTGCAGAAAGAAGACAAACAGACAGCTGGAGAAATATATTCTGACAAGATCGCGGCTTCTGTGACAGGGTTCTTAGAGTGTCTGGCGCAAACCCATGTCCAGCCCTGCCTCCCGATTCGCATCACACACACGGTGTAGGAGAAAGCCTTCTTGTTTCCTCTGGCGTGCCGCTGCATACCTGACTTTGATCTTCACTTGTTGACAAATGCTCAAATATACCTTGCTTTAGGAAGTTGTTTTTACGTGTTCCTGGCTGTTTGGAAGTCAGCATTTGGAAGTCCACGCTCTGAGCATGCTTTCTGACTTTTGTCACTGACTGGTTTTGCATTGTAGAGTCAGCTAACAGGAAGTAGTGCAGCAGTTGCAGGTGAAGCGGTGCTGCAGCGGCTCTGTGCTTTGTTCTCCTGGACTAATTGCTCTGCACCTCCCTGGTCCATATTTCACCAGCGTGAAGCTGTGTCATTGAACAAGAGGGTCTGCACTGCTCTCTCATGCTGTGTCTTGTGTTTTTCTTCCCCCACAATAGCTTTGTGTCAACATGACCAACGAGAAGATGCACCATTATATCAATGAAGTGCTTTTCCTACAAGAGCAAACAGAGTGTGTACAAGAGGGAGTTACCATGGAAACGGCATATTCTCCTGGTAACCAGACTGCAGTTCTGGATTTCTTTTTCCAGGTATTCACACAATATAATTAGATCTTAACAGGGTAGGAGCTTTTCAATGTACTGGACACATCTTTTTGGAAAGATTTTGTCTTAGGGCTATCCTGATATATGAGATTATAGGATGCATTTGTATTGCTCCAAAATTTATTGAGGAAGACAAGTTCTTTCCTCTCAAAGGAACACTCAACATATCAGCAACTCATGGAAAGGACGAGCAATATCACCACAATTTTGAGATTGAAAACTTAACATTCTTATTACGATTACCAAGAATAGAATTTCCCATTGCCAGTTACAAGTGCCTAGTGTATAAAATTGTTTTTATACGTATGTAAGACTAATAATGTCATACAAAAAATCATTTATCATGTTAAATCCATTTTATCTTCTAAGTTTTTGAAGCTTAAATTTCAAGACTTTGTCAAGAAAAATTATTTTAGTTAAAATTAAATTAATTAAAATAAAATTAGTTAAAATTAAAGGTATTGATAAATACTTATCTTTCTTGTTTCTTGTTACTTTAAAAGTTTGACTCAGTATCTACATTGTATAAATTTTAAAAGCTATTATATAAATAGCAATACATAAGCTAACCTAGAAACATACTAGATGGATTTATTCACAGTATCTCTAAAACACTTGAGCATAGCTTCCTCAGGTACCATCTAGTTTTTCAGCTATCACAGTATCTCATGTTGCACCTTGTCACCATTTCTCAATTACTTTATTTTATACATCTTCCTCATTCTGTAACACACTCTTATTTCTCCTACAAACTGTCAAGATGTATTCAGTGTCAGAGCTTTGCTAGGTGGTGTGGATATAGCCCTGGGAAGAAATAGAAGGGTATTAAAAGGGGATATGGATTCAATATTGGGATAAAATAAAGTGAGCATGTGTGGATGACAACAACGAAATCAACAACATGAATACTAGTAGAATCTTCCTAACTTTCAGAAGCCATCTGGATTCCTTGCTGTATTGGATGAAGAAAGTCAAGTGATTGGGTCAGGGGAACCTAACCTTCCAAAGAAGCTGCAGAGTCTCCTGGAGTCCTCGAACACGAATACGGTCTACTCCCCTGTGAAGGACGGCAATGGGAACGTGGCCCTACGAGGTCCAGGCACAGCCTTCACGGTCATGCACTATGCGGGTCGGGTAAGTTGGAGGAACTGGGTGGCTTATGATTTGCAGTGAGGGGCCAGGGCACCAGGAACGAGCTGTGGAGGATTCAGGGTCTGGATGTATTCATTTGAAAATTGAAAGCTGGATAAACAGCCTGAAAATTGTAGTTCTGTTTCCTGTTTGCTTTTAGTCTGATGAGGAATTAACATCTTTGGAATGCAGGTAGCATGATCATCTCATGGTATGTGTAGAGAGAGCTGTGTGAAAGAGCTCTAGACAATACAAGGAGCTCTGTTCTAAACGATGGTGCAGTTTCTATAATGCAGGCTTTGACATCTAAGTTTGTTTGTCCTGAATATAGTCTTTAGGATTGTAACATTTTTCTTAAAGTTTGTCTGCCGAAGAAAACAATCTATTCTCAGTTCTCTTGGCTCTCTAGTAGGGTTTGTGAAGCTTCAAATCCTTCTAGGACTTTCTCTTATCTGAATAACCATTCTTATACTTTTCTATGTAGCCTCCTGTCAGAATGTTCCACACTAAAGCACCATTTCTCCTGTAACTTACCTAGCATATCTTCCTTGTGTAAGCATTCTGTTCTGGTTATTTATTTTAATCCACTCATAGTTTGTTTGCATCCCTTACTTTCCCTTAAACTCTTTCCAACTCAAACTTGAGATAGACACATTCACAGTACAAATCTCACCCATCCTTTAATATTAAATGTATTATTTACTTTCTTCCATCTGTGCTTTCTGAGCCAGAGTGATAGTGCTGGATGGGAACAGGCAGGGTATAACTACAAGGGAGTCTGACAAAGAAATCTTGTCCTGCATGCGTTTTTTAAATTATCCAGCCAGTTCCTGTCTTTCACTTTGGGATCTTTAGTTCTCTGCCTCTACTCCAACTAGGGTACCCACTATATAGTACAAGGTATACTAAAGGGTAATACTATAAACATAATAATTCTAAAAAATTCACATTCACAGAGAAGGAATCAATTAGTTGGCTCAAAAATGGTGCAGAAGTGTTTTCCAGAGGAGGTATCATGGGGCCTAAGTTAGAGTTCACTGACTGTGTGAGAGAGGGACATTCTGGTAAAGATGTAGCATCCTGGTAGCATGTTGTATGTATTGCTTGGGATGCAGTGGTACAGGAGAGACGCCATTAGATATACTTAAGAAGAAAATTATTCAGTACAGCAAAATCATTGGGAAATGCAGCTGAAATTCCTTGAGGGCTCTTAAAACCATGGCATAGAACCAAACCTAGCATGGTCTGATCTATGAGGCTCCAGCCACATTCAAGTTTGGCTGCAGATTCTGATTCTGTTACAGCTGTCAAGTGAGATATTTACACTCTGGACTCAACATGAAAGAAGTGACTACACTTAGAATTCAGCACTGCCAGAGGCAAAGATGATCACCTTCAGGCAGAGTTGCTTAGTCAATGGCAGCTGTGTGACACCTACCATTTTTGCCTCCTATAACCAGGACCATGGAGCTCGGTGGGCAGAAACTAAGAAACAATCAGATTGAAAAGGAGCCGATAAGAGCACTTCCTTATCCTCTACCCTCTGTGTCACAGGAAGGCAATCTAGGGGCACAGTGGTACTACACCACTGTGTCCACCCATGTCATATTGGAAAAGGGTACAAGTTCAGTTGAGAGAACGATGAAAGAGGTGACATTCACAGAGATGAATTTTACTTACAAACTGACATGCTGAATTAAAACCCCTTTATACACCTACTTACATGTAATAAAAATAAGTGAATAAAAGGAGTTGAAATAAGTGTTTTTTTTCAAAAAAAAAAAGATAGGATAGTGGGTGAAATGTCTAAAACTATTATTTGGGACCAAATCCCTCTAGTGTACATACTACTGAGAATTCAGTCCTCTTGATTGTCAGCTTGTGATATTTTAGGAAAACCTAAGGATGGGTTACAGGATTGGGAAAAGACAAAGTGGGCTTTAGAAATGCTAGTCAGCATCTGAATTTAAGCAATGGCAGTGGGCACAGAGGTGGCATTCGCAGGAAAGAGGGACAGTGACAGGGAAGTGACACATGCTGATGCAGGCAGAGCCAAGGAGACGGAGCCATTGGGCATGGGCCTCCCAAGGCTCAATGATTAAGATGGCATTGTACCAGCCCAGGGAGGAATATAAGAGACCAGAGAAGCATGGAAGGGGAATGCTCATTCTTAGATATTCTGAATTTGTGGGTCTTTATGACAATTGATGTGATCCTGGAAATACTTGCTACTGGGGCACAAAGAGTTTGGTTGTTTTCAGAAACATGCCTATGTGCTTGGATCTGTGTACCTTGGTGATTTTACCAGGGAAGAACAAGGAGTAGGGGAATAAAAACAATTATCAAAAGGAAAGCAACACAGGAACCAGAGAAAAGTAGAAGAAGGCCCCCAGGATGTGTGGCACACAGGCAAGGATTCCCTCTGTGAGAAGGGACATTGAATGTGGGGACATTGATGTGATTGGAAGATGGACAGGATGCAGAGAGGAAAGAACAAGGCAGGTTTTGATGCCTGTGTCCCCGGAGGGTTATTAGCTTTCCCTTTCATTTCAGAGATTTAGTCTCTAAAAATTCTTTACAAAGATCTTTTAGTCTAGTGTTCAGATTTTTAAATCTATGTCTTCTAAGCTTAAACATCAAATTTATAAAAATTATGTAAAATTTCACAATAAGGTATGGATTGGGGAAATGACTTTCCTAAAAGTTTTGAGACTTGGTGAGTATGCTTATCTTTGACCTGCCTTTTAAGACTGTTTGGATTGTAGGTGGGAGATTCATTAGAGTTGTTCATCAGAGGCTAACTGCATTAAAATGTATGGAAATACAGTTCCATATTTTGACTATTTTATACACAGTTTTAAAAATAATTTTTTTCCTGGGCACCTACTAATACTTTAATGGAAGTTGGTTTTAGAAAAATACGAGAGAACCACTAATTGAAACTAATAGAATTCTTTCACAGAATTTGTATAAATGTCAAAAAACAGGACTAGCCTGATTGGTTGACACGGAGCCAAAACCCCAACAGAATTATGTATTTGCCTCCAAAAGACTTCTATTTTGTTAACTAATATGGGTACTTTTGTGGTTTTTATAAAAAAAATTCGCTTCAATGAGTTGTAGTAATGAGTCTTAGCCAGAGGTCTCCTCGAGGCCTCATTCACATGTTGTATTGTAGATTATAGGTAATTTGTGGCAATATGCCATGTGAATCATTAGATGTTGCTCGATACACATACATTTTGAGCTATTGCATTAAGTAACCACACAGCAACATACACTTTTTTTTTTAGATCAAGGGATGTAGACCCAGTGAATCTACTTAAAAGTTGGCATGTGTTGTCCAGTTTAGACAGCAGAAATAGCACTCCTGAATAATTTTTGGTGGTACGGTTGACCCCCACCCCCCCTCCCCGAGCTGTGTGCAGTGTCTTTGTGTGCTCTTTGGCTGGGTGGATGGGTTAGTGTATACCTGTTGACATCACATGCCGCTGCCTTGTCTGCCTATTAACTGGTCTCTTCAGTACATCTGATGGGGAGGAGAGCCATTCCTGCTGGTGACATTAACCTCTGGCCCCACGTGGGCAGCCTGACTTGGCCCAAGAGCTCAAACTACAATATCCTGTGATACTTCTAAAGCTCACTTGAAACATTACAGACTCGAAGGTCCTTTTAGAAATGTTTAAGCAACATTATTTGAATTATAGCGGAAGATATTTTCTAAACACATTTGAATTTTTTATTACTCCTAGGAGCATAGTGTATGTTCAAATCACCATTACAGAAATACTTTGAAGCAAATGGGAAGAGGCTGTGCATAAAATATTAACCAAGTCTCATTAATGAGCCTGGATTTGGACTGAAGAGGGCTGGGGGAGCTGCTAAGGAATTGTTTATTATTTGGGTAATTATTTGCTTTAGAAAATTTTAAATCCTATATGGGATTATGTGTTTTAAGATTTGGTCTTAAACTGCTGATTTAAATGTCAGGTAAGCAGTAAATCCACAAGAGTGTCTAATTTTCTTGGCTATTAAAATTAAGAGTCATGAGAAGAAGAAGAGTTATAGCTTGACAAAAAGATATTGGCTCTTGGGAGAGTTGGATTTCCATTAAGGTGATTCTAAACTGACTCTGAGAGAAAATACCATTTTAAGCTTCCTAAATTTTGGTGTGATAAAAGTGAATGGGATAACATGATAGTAATGTGATCTGAAGCAATAAAGGCTGAATTCATAAAATTTTAAGTCGAAGTTAGTAGTTTTGGAGTAAATGGTACATGCATATGACCCTCCTTTGTTGTGTGGCGGGCATCTTTTTCGGGATGTTATGGCTTATTCTGGGGTGAAGCAATTCACTTGGGACCTCAGATGAATATTGCAGTGCGATTGGCCTGGATGGTTCATTTTAATACCAGATTAGCACTTTTCTTTTGACATACAGGCGTCTATCTGTGTCAGATCTCTCTCCCCATGTACACAAGCATGATAAAAGGTGAATGTTGACTCCCAAAGTTGTGTCCAATTCTTCATGTAACCATAGAAGCGATGATTAATTTTATAAAAGGAAAATGATATTGAAAGGATCTTTTATTCAAGTGCCCTAAAAAAGTTCAAACTCTATTATAAAGCCATCATAATAAAAACTATTTGGTACTGGCATAAGAATAGGCCTGAGAACCAATGGAACAGAAGACCCAGAAACAAACCCACAGACCTGTAGCCATCTAATATTTGATAAGGGATCCAAAACACAGTTTGGAAGAAAGACAGCTTCTTCAACAAATGGTGCTGTTAGAAGTGGCTATCCACATGCAGAAAACTGAAGCTAGATCCTTATGTATCACCTTGTGCCAGAGTAAATTCCAAATGGATTTAGAGACCTCAGTGTAAGGCTAGATGCCGTGATAACATTACAGTAAGGGTTAGGGAAAACACTAGGGCTCCTGGGCATAGGTTGAAACTTCCTAAAGATCTAGAATTACAACGAATCAAAGAAAGACTGG